GACTAAGTTAACGAGTACAACGGCTCTAGATACTTAAAATGTACTCAAAATCACATTGAAGCATACTGGTAAAAAAAAACGAGGATATTTTAAGTAAATTATGAGTGTATCAAATTATACTATACAGGTAAACTCGACAAGTCGGATGTTTATTTATATTAGCAAATACTTTAAACAATTGATCGAGATGATAGTTTTGTCGAATTTACCTGTGTATTGGTGTTGGTTTCCAAAACTATGGTGTGCGAAAGTCAAAGGTTTCGCTATAAGTCGAAACTAGTTTTAACCAGTGTTGTGGCCCAAAACTCTGAGTTTAGGGAAGACCCGAAGCAGAAACTAACAGAAACCACCTGAAACTAGTTTAGGTTAGTAGTTTGTGCTTAGGTTTAGGTTTAGTTTTAGTTTTCTGCTTAGTGTAAGTTCATTTTCCGAAACGTTTCGGGAAGCCAAAAGAGTTTATGGTCACAACACTGGTTTTAACACCGAGTTTGACATTTTATTTAGTTTTGACATATAACTTTTAATTTTAGTATTGACTTTCGCCTCTTCAAAATAGTTTTGGCAATCAACACTACTGTGTATACTTTGAAGTATACTTAAAAGGTTATTTGTTTTTTTTTCCACGTATGTTCAAGTGCATTTCAAGAGAATTTTGTGGTGTTCTGAGGGCATTTTCAGTATCAAATTTTTTTTTCTATTCTATCTACAGATATGAAAATAATTAAAACTTACTTTTTTCTCGATGTTAGAATATAGTTTAAAAAACCTGTATTTTTTCTCGATGTTGGAATATGATTTAAAATATCTATATTTTTTCTCGATGTTAGAATATAATTTAAAAAACCTATATTTTTTCTCGATGTTAGAATATGGTAAAATACCTATTTTTTTTAAAAATATGTAATTTGTAAATCGAGGAAATATGTCACCAATAATGTCCATTTTTATTTTAATTGCATAAAATGGGTTTGTTGTACGTAATAATTTTTGTATATTGCATGGTTACACGCCGAAATTTAATAATTTTACCACATCTGTTTAACTCATTAAGTCAAATGGGATATTAATATAGTTATTTTATATTCATTCATATAACTAATATAGAGAATATTAATCTTAATTGTTGCCATAATCACTATTCCTTCAAAAACAATTATGGCAAACAAATAGTCTATTGTAATCTTTTAAGCTTAGCTTTTTCTCCGAAAAAGATTGCTTTATTTAAAATCGAGAATGCAATTTATTTCATGAAATAGATACTTCCCTACAAACAATATAATAGTGTTTATCTTCAAGTAGATTTCCTGTATTGGAATCTACATACTCTCCATTATCTAATCTTGCTATAGACATTTTACTTAAAGTATTAGACAAATTAACGAACGTAATATGATAGAAATTGTTATTAACCGTTGTGTAAATTAGATTACAAGGATAATAATAACTAACTATCAGAATATATTTTTGGAAGAACGAATTGAATCTATTGTTTATTAAACAAAGTGGATGGAATTCGAGTTGCTTATTTATATTTTCATTAGAACACCACCTCTCGACTAAGTATATCAACTTTTTCGACTAATAAATAGTCGATACAAATTCACGTTGAATTACAATGTAACAAAATATGAATAACTAATTAAATCAATAAATTAAAATAATAAATAATAAATAATAAATAAATAACATAGCAAATTTCCTGATAACTCTATAAATCAAAAAACTATATCATTGCTTTGTGTAATAATATTCTGTTCGCTAAAAAGGTATTGAATGACACCATCTAAGATATCTAAAAAACTATATCATCATGATTAAGAGGCAATAAATTAAAAAACACATTTTAAAAAATGAATGGTCAAAATACAAGGAATCTGAAGTCAAAGATGTCTGATTTATTCATTATCCAAAAGCGCATAATCCAAAGATTTAATAGTCAAATTATCTGATATTTTTTAATTTCAATTTATTTAACAGTTGTGCTTTTCTTCTAGATGCAATTCTAGATGTTTTATTATTTTAAAATATTTGAACAGATTTATATCAATGAAGATATATTTTGAGTAATAATCAAAAAATTCACCACAATTATTATTACCTAATGTTCGCTATTATTACTACTACAGTACTACTGTTATTATTATTATTAAATAATATATCTCTTAATTTTCCATTATTATATTATTTATTGATTTACTTTATTGTTCTGCTACAAGTTTGTGTTTTTTTGGGGGAAATGGATTCTTTTGTAAGAGAATATTTTATCATTATTATTGTTTAAAAATTCTCGGCCGAATAATACTATTACTGAAACTATTGTATATACAATACGGAATTATTATTATCATCCTTTATTAGTATATCTTTATTACTACAATAATTGGTCATTATTTTTACAACTCAGTGAGACGAGACATAAAAGAAGCCTAGAGTTAAAAATATGACTTTTCCTTTGAGTAGTAACTTCTTTCAATAATATTATAATTAACAATCGCATGATAAAACCATTGCAATAAAATTATTGTTAACTGGCAAAGCTATCGTTATTTACTTAATTAATTATTGGATTGGACTGTGTTATATAATTATTCCATTGAAATCAATTATTGTAAGGGCGCAATTCTACAATACCAAAATAAAATATTCTATCTTTTTTCAATTGTTTACAAAAATTACAAACATAATTACTATAAGATATATTGTACAGCAATACTATCATTGATTCTTTTAGAAAACAGTTCCCAATGGTGAGCCCAAATGATATGTACACTTTTCAATTCCGTACAATATTTCTTTTTGTTCCATATATTCCATATATGTGTTGAATTAGTCTATACTCAAAGTTTGATTGGTGGGGATGTTGAATACTGTTTCAAATACAGAACATTACCATACTAATGCGAAGGCACAGATATACAAAACCTGCGTAGACTCATGTTTGCTGCTACCAAAAATTTCTCTGTGTAGAAATCTATATACTAATAGTACAAACTATACATGTCCTGTGTGACGGCGTGACGCAATTAACGTTGTGCATGACGTATCGGTATTGTGCGTGACAAACGCAATCCATAACTCAAATTCGCAATCTGAAAGTTATTTAAGAAGTGATATTATTACTTATTAGTTGTTTAAGTGTGAATAACGTTCGATAGATAACGTAAGTAGATCATACCAATTTTGCATTGTAGAAAATCAATCTCGAAATTAAAATGTAGATTTTTATTTCCAAAAATCTATTCTATTACTATTATTATTGCCTATAAGACAGACATATTTTACATCAATTTTACATGCGTAATTATCAAAACCTAGGCTGCACGCTGATATAAATTTTATATTTTTTACTGTGTGGGGTTTTGAGGAACTAGTAAAATGGATGTCCGGATACTTTTATACACTTAAATAAAACGCTTTGAATTTGTTAATGTTTATAGTAATAATTATTGAAATTTATGCTGGAGAATATGGTAAAAACATCTTGTACTTATATTCAAAAATTTGTATGATAATTTCTTTATTTCAAGATCTTTCTTAAAACAAGTGTCAAATTCAAATTCAAAATGGAATTTCTTTTAACTTTTTATTATTATTATTTTTAAAGATTGCAAAGTCTATGGCTGTCCCATTGCTAGATACGATTCCTTATGATACGAGAAATACCGTCAAGGAAAGCATATATCGTTTAACAAATCAGTCTCTTTCAACAGGATCCATACTACTAAGTAGCGGCTAATTTTAATGATAAAAGCAATCAGCTACAATGTATACTAACTTGGATACGGATAAGATAATGCCTTGATCTATTTAGAATCTTCTCTCAAGCTTTTAAGTATGATAAGTAAAAAGAAAAAACGTCATTCTTCTGTTTTTTTATTATTATTCATTTAATTAAAGCAAAAAAAAATTATAGATTCGAATCGATGTAACTTTAATTCTCACAATATTTTCCCACTGATTGGAGAAATTAAATTCCACATGATTGATAATTTTCTTATAAAAGAGTCTCAACAATCATATATATTTCCATTCTTTTTTTAGAATTATCTTTAATAATAATACAATTTATAATTCAAATTTACAATTGATCGATAAATAAATCAAATTATTAGAAATTTAATATCAATATTGATCTTTATTGCGCAAGGTATATCCATATATGTGTATAAATTAAAAATTCAATGGCGTAAACCAATTGATTTAATGTGCGATAAATAAAATTAAAATTAATCCCCTGTATATGATAATTTAAAAAAAATTGCTTTTTTGAACTGGTTATTTGACAATTCAAAAGTTGAATAACAACATTAATAAAGAAAGATAATTCAAATAATTAAGAATCTTGCTTAATAATAATAATATACAACAATTCAACTATTTTATTGATAAATAAATCAATTAACTGGCATTTAAAGAAATAAATACTTTCTTTCCATTGTATAGTTATAGTTATTTTTTTACAAATTTATGCAGCACTTATATTGTTATTAACAAGCAATGTTTATATTTGAAGCATAGAAATATTGATCTTGAATCAATCAAAATTACCTTTTTTTATTTTTGTTTTTTTTTACTAATTTACATGGGTACAGTGTATTGCGGTACACAGAATTTGTATGGTTAAAATTTGTGCAGAAAAAAAAAATATATTAAAAATATTTAAAATGAACTCTGATTGATCAGTGGTTTAGTCAATGATAACTACATTTGTATGATTCGTATTGCTGCTCTTGAGATAAATTGATTTGGCCTGCAAGGTATTTACAACATCATATTCACTAGAAATGCTTTGTATCAATGTGAGAGCTTGGCATGATGAGAATCTACAAGGATTTCCTGGTTCCAAAAATGCCAGATAGTCACACTTAATTGTACCGCTTTTCCAAGGACTAACAACCACCATTAATTCAGGATTATGATAATGACTACCATTGTCGAAAATATTCCTACTCATTAAATGCCTTCTCCTATTATATTGCATCAAATGCTAATCCAAGGCTCAAAGATTATGATGCAATTTGAAATTCATGAAGGCGAGTTTTGAAATTGCATTCGGGTTCCTTTTTTTAAAAGGCCTGCTTAAACCTCAACTTTGTTTGGCGAGCCCTATCCAAATAATAACTCAGACGATCCAACAAATAAGCCAAAACCGCATTAAAAAAAGATCTCTCTCACCCCTTGGAGCTGACGTTGGGAGCACGAAAATTATATAGATGGATTGACGGAATTATTCAAACAAATATAAGGCCTCGTGAATCTTTCAAATTAATTTCAACCAGCTTGTTTGAAAATAAAAGTTAAGGTAAATTTCATTTAAAATTTGAGTTAAAATTAGGCACTATAATAGCTCCACTTACATGTGAATTGATCAGAAAAAAAGACGTGTCAAACTTCCAGAATTTTTAATCCTAAAAAATTTCCTAAAAAAAGAATAACAACCATTATAGCAAAAACTGCGGTTTGATATAAGGCCTGGCCACATTTATAGCTCAACGAGGAGAACCAACAATAAATTAAAATGGTACCTAAAAGCTTTCATGAATCAAGCAAGATATCTATATTATATATATTTAAAATTTTAATTTCCAGTTACATTTTAGAAATGTTAAATATAATTTGACATTACAACATTGCTTTTTTTTAAAGGAAAATTTTTGGTATCTTAATATAGATTTGACACAGCATTCAAAAAGTTTCTGTTAGATTTAATAATTTATCCGCGTTCAAAATTTTCTATATTGTATTTATTTACTTTGGAAAAGTGATGATTATTAATTAATATTTAGGATTTTTAGGTAATATATTATTTCTAAAGCTCCAAACGAGCTGAGCTCGAGTTGAGTTCGAGCCAATTCGAAATTTAATAATATTATTTTTTTTATAAAATCGTTATTTTGACATTAATAAAAATATCTTTATTATAACTAGAAAGTGTATTTTACAAATATTTACTACGTGTTTAACTTAAATTTGATTTTTTAACTAATATTATTATTGTATAGTAATTTCCATGCGGTTTAGGGAAAAATTTACAATTTTGAATTTTTTGATAAAATCATATTATGTATGTTGTATTGTATTATATGTTGAATCATATATATTCATTTATTTATTCATTTTTAGAGGACGGCAGCTTTAACTATTCAAAGCATATCACTCAGCCGACACTTCTTGATTCATTTTGGACTGGGAAATTTTCACCAAACACCCTATTCTTTCCCAATACTCGAGCGCAAAGTCAGTTATAACGAATCCTTTTTAGATTCGAAATTGCTGATGATGGTATTAAAGATGGGACATTCCTGCTTTTACAATTAATATATTTGACTCAGGTGTGGCTTATCTTTGATTGATTGATTGATGATGGTCTCTTTAATTAGAGAATCTAGCAATGTATACCGAGTCAGCCAAGGATACCTATCTTGATAAGTCATCAGATTCTTTTATTACGTTGATTTTCCAAGGAAAAAGATATTTTTAGAAAAAAATGTAAATAATAATGATATGATGTATTTTTAGATCTATCATATTCGGATAACTAGGATGGTCACCAATAGAATAATAATTTAGAATTTCAGCCAAGCCGTGATACGCAATCTTATATCATAACAATCATTTGTAAGTCGAATAAATTTTTTTATTGTGAAATATTAATATATCACCACATCATTAATAAATAATAAATTTTTGTACCAGGAGTTACAGGATTCATGATTGATCCACATAATTTTGTTGAAACGCAAACAGAACAACAGCAAGTAAATAAAATAATTATACTTAATTTCTGATAATGACTGTTATTTTCCATGTTTAACAATATTTAATATTTGTGCTTCTAATAAAAAATGTTCTCAGATATTGGTGAAGAATTAAAAAACACTTATTATTATTGAGTTGAGTTAAAAATTTGAATTTTCAAGTTTGAGCAATGGTAACATGTTTTTTTTTAATATTTACTTTTGTATATATTTTTATATTAATATTTTTTATATATATTTAAGAATATAATAATTAAATTAAAAGGTATTTACATGTTTTTTTTTCCAAAGTTTAGTGATTAAACGAAATCAGAAAGAATTGTTATGTGACCATGATATATTCTTGTAATAACAATTATACTACTAATTATTAATCACTTTTTTAGATCTTATTATTATTATATGTGACTACTGTCATTCTTTTCATTGTCTTAATTAATTTAAATTTTCCTCTATATATTTTAGAAAGGGAACATGCAAACCAGCCTGCAGTAAGATTTCTATTTATTTATGCTTTCAATGTTTAAAAAAATTTCTAGTTTTTCAAGTTTTGTTCAGAAATATGGAAAACTTCAAACAGAACATGGACTGGTGAATTAACAAATTACAAGGGTGATGTAACACATTACTAATCAAAAATTTACCATTTTATCATGTTAAGTAACATTTAAAGATGGGAACCGCAATTAATTGAGGAGCTATAGATGATACATTTATGGGAATCATAAATTTGATACGGACTTGGTGCCTATCTGTACATTTACAAAAGATATAAAAATAGAAAATTATCTTAAACATGTTGTAAAATGACTGCTTCCTTGGAAATATTAGTCGGAATAAAGGAAAAAAAAAATACTAGGTGAACTAAAAAGAATGAATGATAGTATTGTTGTATGGTGCGAGTCACACTATCACATCAAATAAAAATTGATAAATACTGAATGCTTATCTGAAAAAAAATGGAGACTATATTTGATAGTTATTGACTAGTTCTACAATCCATTGTCGAGATAATTTAAAAAAAACCACTGGTTTCAGGTTATTTTCTTTTAAAAATCGTGTGTTTTTATATGTTACGTAATAAAAATTTCGAAACATTTAAAGTTTATCTGAAATTTTTAAAAGCCAATAACTCTGGAATAATAAATTTTTAAAAATTATCTCGATGATGGATTGTAGAACTAGTCAATAACTATCAAATATAGTCTCCTTTTTTTTTCAGAAAAGCATTCAATATTTCCCTATTTGGCTTTAAAGTTATTTGATGTGTTAAAGTGACCGCACCATATTTTAGTACTGATTTTTTGTAAACAATTGAAAAAGGACAGAATATTTTTATGTTAGTGAGATAATTATACATAGAACAGTCATGAATTCAATAGTTTAATTCAATAATTAATTAAATAAATAAGGATAGCTTTGCCAATTAACAATAGTTTTATGACAACGATTGTTAATTACAATATTACTAAAATAAGTCACTACCCAAAGGAAAGGTCATATTAAAGACATTTTAATTCTTAATTGTAAAAAATACTAGCAATAATATGTAATAAGGGATAAATATATAATAAATAAAATATACAAATAAAGAAATAATAATAAAATTAATAATTCCGTGTTGTATATACGATAAGTGTTAGGGCTGGTGTTAAAATCTAAATTTAGCAATAGTTTTCTTGATTAAACTTGACTAAACTTGACTTAATCAATGTAGCCAAGTGCTCATTTGAGTTACGCAGTCATAAACCTGATAAGTTGGTCATTTATCGACAATTGATTGCTACGTTCGACTTATCGAGTATATCATTATGACTACAGGACTTAGGTATAACGTTATTATAATATATATAGGTGACTTTTGAATAATACATAATAACAATTTGTTTATGTCGTGCATTAATTGTGATGATACACAGTAAATCTCGGTTAATGGAAATTAGTTATAGAGAAATCCATAACGAGAAGGTTTTTATTA